GGTTAATTTAACTGTAATTTGTAGAAGCATACCAAAATCATAAATCACACTTTGGCTTGTCCAAATATAACAAAATAACCTAGACAGGCAACTATTTTCAGCTAAGGGCCATACCTTCTAAGGAGGATGAGATTAAGTTGGTTTAAGATGGTCCTGTGAGATTTTCTATGGCTTATAGCTTAGCATACAAACAGCCTTGGATAAGAAAGGAAAGCAAATCATTTGATGTACATCACTCAGTTTACCTCATCCTTGAAGATATCTTATGCACTCATGTAAATTATTTTTTAATAATAAAATTACATTAGAAGTGTAGATTTACTTACTATGCACAAGAACAGTGCTTTATAATCTGCTGCCCTTTAGATTTCAAGTACAATTCCACTGATTGGAGAACTTTAATATCAGATGCTAAATCCATTAAATGTTCAACAATTTCACTAAACGTTCATCATTTAAGAATTAAAATACAGTATATGAAACCAATTATGTGGAAGTTTTGAATCTTTGGCAGGAATTGTGCCCAGTAGTGAAGCTCCGCTCTTATCTGTATGATGTCCATGGCAGCTAATGTACATCTTTCAGCTCTATTTTTGCATGACAATGACTGATGAAAACCTTGCAACAAGCTCCAGCCATCTTTATTTTAAAAAAATCAGAGAAGTCTGCATGGGTTTATAGCTCATTGTCTCTATGGTCTCTCATTCTTCCATTATTCTAGGAAATAATTTGAAAGGAAGGATATAGCTAGATCCATTTATTTATTTTATTTATTTACAGAACTTACATGGCTGCCTATCTCATATAATTATTCTAGGTGGCTCACAACAATCCATAAAAGCAAAGATAAAAATACAGTGGTACCTCGAGTTACGAACGCTCTTCCTTACGAATTTTTCAATATACAACCAGCTCTGTATGTATTTACATTGAACCTTATGGGGGAAATTTACTTCAAGTTGCGACCAACTCGAGTTGCGACCAGAGTCACGGAACGGATTAAGTTCGTAACTAGAGGTACCACTGTACATACAGTTAAACAGTTCTGAAACATATGCATTTTATTTTTAAACCACAAAAACATGAAAATAGTCGAGAT